GTAAACAGTGTGTCTACAACAAAGTGGATCTACCTGTCATCTATACCTGAGTAGAATAACACAAAATATGATCGGTGAATTGGCCAGGCCATTTGACCCCTGAGATGTGACACAGACATTAACCTGGCTGGGGAACACAACACGTTTGTTGATGTTTGTTCGTTTACGTAATGTCGTAAATAAGTCGGTAAGTTTGGTTTACGTCACCTTAATCAATATACAAACAGTGTTGAGGTGAGGGTATAACAGGTACTGACTTCTCACACAGGACAATGCGAGGAATGGAAACAGAACGTTTTAACCACAAAGTCACCCCGTCCCTTAAACGTCTCAAGAAATGCATCTTCGTAGGTTATATAAGGAACTGGTAAGTATTATGTTACGTAGCAACTGCTCTGGGCTGGGAAGCAAGTAAAGGTGACCCCGTGACGCATCTGGGCTTCCCTGATCATATTACAACAGGACGTACGCAACCCGCTGAGATTTATCGCAAGACAGGCACGTGATATACGTGTTGGTCATGATATGGAAAATTTCCTTTCTTTCTATTATGGACTGAATGGGTCATTCGTGATCAGCTCGTGGTTTTCAAGCCAAGCATCCTGTCGTGCCCTACCAGAAGGAATTAAATCCATATTTGGAAATAAGTCCAAAAACAGTTTATATATATATATATATATGTGTGTGTGTGTGTGTGTGTGTGTGTGTGTGTGTGTGTGTGTGTAAACTGTTTTTGAGACACACACACGTACGCACGCGTCCGTTCGTACGTGCGTGCGTGTGTGTGTGAAACTGAAAGTATCGTGGTGAGTCTTATGATAATTAAGTGCACACGATGTCTGCCGGTAGTTTGAACTTGAATGCAACCTTGCTGTCATACCCCTGGTGGAATTTCAAAAGAAGGATACGCTGAAACAAAAGACTCCTGAAAGCTCAGACTAAAATAACCCCACTGTAGTGATATGTAAGCACTCCGTTTCCGTATGATGTTGATTAAATACATGTAACTGATATTGATTTGAAACTCATTGCTATTTATAATTATATTGCTTGATATTTATCACTCTCAATATATATTACTGGTATATTACGGGTATAAACATGAAATTCGCATGGAAATCCAAATAGACCGTGCTTCATGTCGGAAAATTCACCTAACATCTCCAAAGTAAACACACAAAATTATGGGGTAGCCTAGTGGTTAAAGCCTTCGCTCGTCACGCCGAAGGCCCGGGTCCGATTCCCTACATGGGTATGATATGTGAAGCTCATTTCTGGTGTCCCCGCCGTGATATTGCTGGAATATTGGTAAAAGCGGTGTAAAGCCATACTCACTCACTCTTATGTTGGGTCGATTCTGACCCGGGTAAGTCCTGATGAACGTCTTCGCTGGGTACAGTTGCACCTACAGATGGCTAACTCTCCTGAGAAATGCGGGTATTGACATCATGGAGATCACCTGACCTCAGTCCCATGGAACACGTACAGGATGCTCTTTGAAGAAGTCTTTGTGCTTTAAGACTTCAACCCAAGAGTGTTCAAGATTTGGGCGCCATGTTGGTACAGCAATGGCGCAGGTTACCTAATATTGGTAAAAGCGGCGTAAAACTAAACTCCCTCCCTCATGTCCCTATCCTGATTAAGAACTTCAAATTTGAAGAACTAACAACATACAGTGGCGGTACTCCACTGCAGATCAGTCAACCCACCAACAATGAGTGGTCGTCTCAGGGCTTTCCTTAGAGCCACACATCAACTTGGCCTAAATATTATCATTTCTCATTTAAGAGGTATCTGAAGAGGACAAAGCAAATACAATAGGTCGGATCCTATTGACGTAAGCTTTTATACGGTATCGTTCGGGTAACAATGGGCTAAAGAACAAGCTGACACAGTCAAATATCGGATTAACGTTGACGCGGACTTCAGCTACAGTATACTTGCAAGTACATGACACAGAGGCGCAAAAGAAAATACATGTATACCGATTTTAAAAATGAAAAGAACTTTTGTTTAATTTGATTATGTCTATTTAACGCTCAGACATTCCTACTCGAGGGTGGAAAAGGTAATGAGCGACGGGGAAGCTTTGTACAAATAGGCTGGTTTAGTGGAGACGGGGATAAAAATGGATTTCACAACCATGTTAGAAATGTGCCTAAAAGACCAAATATTATTTTTAAGGTGATATGTTTAAGATTCCACTTGTTATTTTGTTTGTTCTTTGTAGCGTAATGCCGAACGCCGAACGCCAATATTCCAGTAATATGCCGGCGGTCTGTAAATAATCGAGTCTGAACCAGACAATCAGACAATCCAGTGATTAACAGCATGAACATCGATCTACGCAACTAGGATACGATGACATGTGTAGCAGAAACCTTCATATATTTCCCTCATTGTTTCGTCATGGTAGTTAATGAACTTGTGATTTTGGTTTTGTCATCTGTTTTACTCAACAGATCATAAATTGTCATTGTCACTGACTGTGTTTTATCTTGGCACACATGGAACAAACAACTGTCAAGGTGAAGGTCATATATTCCCATTATCTGATATGGCCACATGAGAGTGTGTCAGAGCTGTGTGTTGTTGCGTTAAAAATGCCTACTTTAGTTGCACAATGGGAAGTACGTGTGGCAGAAGATTTTCATCTGTGTCACAATGTACCGTTAATTTAAACTGGATGTGTATAGTGACCAGTGAGTGATTGATTGAGTGAGTGAGTTTAGTTTTACGCCGCACTCAGCAATATTACAGCTATATGGGGGCGGTCTCTAAATAATCGGATCTGGACCAGACAAGCCAGGGATCAACAGCATGAACATCGATCTACTCAGTTGGGAACCGATGACATGTGCCAACCAAGTCAGCGAACCTGACCACCCGATCCGGTTAGTCTCCTCTTTCGACAGGCATGGGTTACTGATGATCAATTCTAAGTCGGACCTTCACGGGTGTCCAGCAACCAGATCTGGGATACGACCACAACGTTCAGTTTATGTTGGTGTGTTTAGCTACCCCACTTCCACGTGGTTCCGTTTTTGTGTTTTATCCACTTTTGTGTTTCCTCCACTTTTGTGTTTCCCCCACTTTTGTGTTTTCTCCACTTTTGTGTTTATATCACTTTTGTGTTTCTCCACTTTTGTGTTTTCCCCACGTTTTGTGTTTTCTCCACTTTTGTGTTTCTCCACTTTTGTGTTTCTCCACTTTGTGTTTTCTGCACTTTTGTGTTTCCTCCACTTTTGTGTTTCCTCCACTTTTGTGTTTCTCCACTTTGTGTTTCTCCACTTTGTGTTTTCTCCACTTTTGTGTTTCCTCCACTTTTGTGTTTCTCCACTTTGTGTTTCTCCACTTTTGTGTTTTCTCCACTTTTGTGTTTCCTCAACTTTTGAGTTTCCGCCAGGAAGTGCTGGATCCAGTTGTTGTACCATATTTTGATAACCATCCACTTGCTACAACACCTGTATGTATGGATGACAACGCTAGGCCACACCATTCCTGTGCAGTTACTAGCCTTCTGAAGCCTGCCATGAGTCCAGATCTGAATCCCCTGGAACACATTTGGGACTTTATCGGGCGACGGATACAGGAACGTGTACCTCCAAAATAGGCGGGAGTCGGACGGAGCTTTGCACATAGAATGGCGACAGTTTCCTCTTCCATTGCAGGCAGTTATCGCTAAAATACTTTAAACAGGTATCATTTTGAACCCAACAGATGAGTTGTGTATTTAATTGTGCCATAACCATTATTAAAACGTTGAATGAAACTGTACTTTTTGTGTTTTCTTGTAGTCAAGATATAATCTTACAGAAAAAAAACATGCAGCTTTACAATTTACTTGGGTGCTTAACTTTTTTCCAAGTGTATGTATCTTACAGTGTGACAAGGTCATGTAATCGACAACATGATGGACATAAGTACCACAATGAGATAACGTAATGGCTATGTGTGGTCGACCACATAGTGGATTCAAGTACCAGTGTCTCATAATAAGATAGTGAACTGTATATGTGTAAGGTGCATGTAGGTGCAGGAGTCTCATTGTGACTTAGTGTAATGTACACTCTTAAACAAAGCTAAACCTGAACAAAGTTATGTTAAAGATAAACATATTTAGGGTTGCTTACGGTTTTTTTTTCAGTTGCATAGATATCTAGGTAGGTATGTATACATACATGTGTGCGTGAGGGGGACGGGGTAGGGTGTGTAGGGGTAGATGTATGAATGCATGCATGTAACCGTCGTTCCTAAAGTGTAATTGGATATTACATGAAGCCTATTGTTATCACTCTATGATGTTTCTCTCGTTTCTACTTAATAACAGGCTGCTTACATGACGAAGCCTCAAACACACATATACTTTTTAAAACATTTGGGTAACTTCATTTTTAGTTTACGATTGAAACAAATTGGGAGATATATCGGAGTCCATCAATATTGCTATGATAATAAGGACTGTGTTGAGAGTGCATCATCACCTGCACTTCCTTATGACCATAGTTGTTTATACATTAATCGCTCTTGAAAGATGATTTGTGTTTGACATGAAATTTGCATGCCTACGATTTTCATTTTAAAAAACAAACAAAAAACGGCTAGAAACAAACACTAACAACTGCGTGATGCAAGATGATTATCAAAATAAATGATCTACAGTAATTTATCGACCTTTTTGAAAACCGTCAAAATCAAGAATGACCGCATGCACGTGTAAAGGGCTATATAGTTGTGCACGTGCATACCATCCGTTGTGTTTAGGGGGGGTGATAAAGAGAAATGGTGATGTGTTCATAAGATGTCTGTCTTTGAAAGGTTTGTTAACGATTATACTACCTATCCAAATTGCAAGTTCAGGTTCCCCAACTTTTTTCTAAGAGTATACATGTGTAGTCGACCACATGGTGTATATAAGTACCAGCGTCTAACTATTCTCACTCAGTCTTATATATCTATATATGAAGACAAAACGCATTTTTGTGAAAGATAAATACTCATTCCCAAGGCTCCAGAGCGCATTTTAATGACGTAAATTAATGTTACATTGGCACGTTACACTGTTTAACTGTTCCAGTATTCAGGTGTGGAAGATATCCCGAAGTAACTCTGGTCCTGGATATTTCCATATTCGATGACATCAAAGCGAATCTTGATTTACATATTGTATATTTCGGAAATTAGGTCATGGATCCATGTACAGTTAATGATGAACAATTACATAATTCTCTGTTAGGCTTTACAACTGACTGACTGACTGAGTTTGGTTTTTACGCCGCTTTTAGCAATATTCCAGCAACATCACGGCGGGCGACACCAGAAATGGGCTTCACACATTGTACCCATGTGGGGATTCGAACCCGGGTCTTCGGCGTGACGAGCCGACGCTTTAACCACTAGGCTACCCCACCGCCCCTTAAGGCTTTACAAACAGTTGCAAGTTAAATTATGATTCATAAGATAAGAGGTGATGCCTACTAACTCATAAATGGGTAGAGTGAGTGAGTGAGTTTAGTTTTGGCCGCCTTTTGCAATATTTCAGCAATGACACGGCGGGGAACACCCGAAATGGGCTTTACACATTGTACCCATGTGGGGACTCGAACGTGAGTCTTCGACGTGACGAGCGAACGCTTTAACCACTACCCCACCGCCCCTAAATGAGTAGAGGTTAGGCTGTAAACAGATATATACATGTTTCTTAATTCAGTATAGATTGGGCATATAAACAAGAGGTTCGCGAACACCCTTCCTTCGCCCAATATATGATTAAATAGGCAATCTGGGATTGAACCGATGAACAACGGATTTTACTTACTTGGTATATTTCTCACCAATATAGGCCCACTGCCAGCTTACATTTGTGGCAGTAGTATCGATGGAGTGGTATAGACATCATCATAACAATATAGCTCGCGGTGGCATAGCTTGATAAATGTGCACTTTCATAATCATTTATAGACAAAATGACGTAGGATAACTTCTGTAGTAGATAATTTACCCTTAGTTGCGTATATCCATAGCAGACTAGCAAAAAGATGAATTTGTCGTCCACATACCCATCATTACTGACACTTTTTGAACAGGATTTAACGCTCCGTAGGATATTAATCTACCTTCCAGTTTCAATATCCAGGCATCTAAACAGAGATATTCCTTGAATAAAAGATTTAAGGCCTTTGCGAGTGCATCCTGCCAATCATGTTCATGATTACACCTAACAATATAGTTATCACAGTGTTGTAGGATGTTCCTTCATAGAAGCAGGAATGTTCACAAAACAAACGCTATCGAAACGAAGGAATGTTCACACAAACCCCTACTATGTGGCAAAATATAGGCGAAGCCTTAACATTTTCCCACGTGTCATTTGACATAGGTTCCTGTGCTTGAAACAGACTGAGAACTCTGTCATGACCACTCTTCACGGTAACAATGTTTAGGGAGTTCGCCATCGTGCTGTTTCCCGTGTAAATCTGCCTTATGCATTCATCAAAATGCGATTTCGGTCCAGATATCAAGAAAACAGAAAAAGTATAAAAATATATAACTCAAGGAATAAATCGTTTTCCTAGATGCATACGTTTAAAATGATGAGAATTCGAAAGTTACCTATGGTTCAGTTCCCCTTATAAAGTATATTCACGTAATTCACATCTGCCTGCATAATCCAGTTCTTTTCCCCGTAGTTTCTGTTATGGAAATCAGCTCTAAATGTGCGTAAACCCTTTTCTTTCATGCCCTGTACACTGGTATAAAACTCCACGTATTTGTCCTTGCTGGGATAGGTGGGAAACAAGTGCCACTCCACCGCGAACTGCTTCACCTTGGACAGGACTCCTGACTCTGCCAGATCCTTCGCTGTTGGCCATTCGCTAGTCTCCACGTCGATCTTCAAGACATCGATGTGTCTCTAGAAACATATATCTCATGTTCTCATATCAGTTACTCATCCCATGTACGCATTTCGTGTGTTCATTTCAGGTACTCATAGTATGTTCTCGTATTATGTTCACATTTCATGGTCAGACTGTGTCTACATTTGTGTGTATGTGTATGTGTCTTTGGACGCATCTCTATCTGTGAAAGACACATCTACATGTGTATGTCCTTGGACTGTGTCAACATTTGTGTGTGTATGTGTGTGCTTGGGCTTGTGTATGTGTGTGCTTGGGCTTATCTCTATATTTAAAAGACACATCTACATGTGTATGTCCTTGGACTGTGTCAACATTTGTGTGTGTATGTGTGTGCTTGGGCTTATCTCTATATTTAAAAGACACATCTACATGTGTATGTCCTTGGACTGTGTCAACATTTGTGTGTGTATGTGTGTGCTTGGGCTTATCTCTATCTGTAAAAGACACATCTACATGTGTATGTCCTCGGACTGTGTCAACATTTGTGTGTGTATGTGTGTGCTTGGGCTTATCTCTATCTGTAAAAGACACATCTACATGTGTATGTCCTTGGACTGTGTCAACATTTGTGTGTGTATGTGTGTGCTTGGGCTTATCTCTATCTGTAAAAGACACATCTACATGTGTACGTCCTTGGATTCAGTTTTTCTGCAGGAGAAGTAGCCCTTACATTTGTGTCCTTGACTTTGGTTATATTGGGAGTAGAAACTAACACTTACATTGGTATGTCCGAGCATCTGCATGATAGTTTCGAGGCGTCTGATTTTCCATATTTGTTTTGTTTTTACATATATATCTTTAGTGGGGACAAACGTGTCGCTGTCCGTCCCTGATATGCCGATGTCGTGGAAATGGACGTTCGCACTTCTGTTGAATGATTTCAAGCCAATACTAAAACAATAGAAGCAAATATTGTCTCAAATCAAAATTTCTCCTTATTTCTGTGTTGTTACTTTGAATATATTTTCGTAATTTCAATTAAGTTTATTCCCCCAAATAAAATTTATTATTTTTCTCGTTCCTCTGATTATTTCTCGACGTTTCAGTTTTATCAGACAACAACTAAAAATAGCGAGATATAAAGTTCACACCAAAGTTCACAGGGTCACTGCAGGGTGCAGCACAGATAAACCTTTCTATAGCAAATTAAAGATAGATTTTACTCCAGCTTCACTGACTTTTCAATCATTTTTTTCTTGTGTCGCGTTCGAATTAAAGTCGCGTTCGAATTGAAGTCGTGTTCAGAAGTCTAATGTAAGTGGCACATGAGCATACAGAATTATCCTGTGATAATAGCTAGGTCTTTGAAACCACACCTGCCCCTGTGATACAGATTTTACTATTTGAATTACACATTTACTTGTAATCGTACTTTCACATAATGTGAAGGTATTTTCTCTTACCTCGGGTCAAAAGAATGGACTTCACAGCCAAGGGCACCCATTGCATCGTCAAACGACCAGTCGTTCCAGATACTACAGTAGTGAATACACTCTATATTGATCTCATATATAAAATCTATGTTATGGTCAATAGTCGGATATACTCTTGGATGTACATAAGGCTACTTCTCATTGGAGTAGTATTCAAGGCGTTTTCTAAAATCAACAATGTGCTCTCGTCCCCGACACGTTAAAGTTTAACTTGGACACCATTTACAACCAAGGAAGCACGTGAGTATATATTTAAATTCAACATTTGTCCATATTCAAGCAATATCAAGGGATGGGACATTAGAAATTGGTCACACATTTCACTTTTGTGGAGAATCGAACAAAGATGTCAGCGTGATGGAAATAATCAATCTATACCGAACACTATACAAATTATTCATTTACATAATACCAACAGTCGATGCTCGACAAATGGTGCTTAATCTACAATAATTCAGTTACAAATTGTGATGTGACTTATGTTACATTTTGGATAGCACTTTCTTCTCGAGTCCCATCCCAGGATTGGAACCCACACTTTCACAGTAATCCATCTAGTGCTCCTCATACAAATTCACCAATCCAACCCACTCAGCCTGAACGGCTTCCACGCTAAATGGAAATCTGACAACTGGTAGTTTAGATCACGTAGATTATGTACCCCCTAGCAAGTGTTAATATGAAAATGCGATGTGCAAATTTTACGACAATGCATAGTGAGACAATATAATTGAAATAAATAATTATGTGTTGTAATTAAACGCATCCTTTCTTACCCAAATGAGTAGACGAGACAAGGCGGCTTCACGCCGTAGTTCCCATCCATACAGATATGCCAGTTGCCTTTCCTTACGATAGGGTTGCACTTGTACTCGGGGGGCTTCTCCCAGTCCCTGCAACACGATACATGCAAGGACACATGATGTTTTATCTTCTCTATTACTGACGGCACCTATAGTTGTGGCGATTCTTGGCACAAGAACTGGCTTATGTTATAACTCGCATGCACATGGGAATTGGTTTGGGCCAAAATTTACAAATGTTATCAAGACGTTCCAGTGCTGAAAAAGTTGCCGATGCACTGCAAACTTCAGTTCAAAAAACACATATATGACACCTGCATCCACAACATCTCACTCGCATAACAATTTCTTCTGTCTCATATTTAGCCACCACTGTGTGGTTGTATACTGTCTCCTACTCGGTAGTTTCTTGAGTAATGAAATAATGTATCTATTACAAAACAAAAGTCGTATCTCAATCGTATGAAATAACACTTTATGTCGGCACTACTTTGAATGAAAGTACCCTTTAAGAGTTCGGTCCTAACATCAGTTAGAAAATACACCCTCCCGGTCTCTTACGCCAGTCATGAAAATATACATTTTGCCAGGTGACTTGTCGCGACAAGCATGTATATAAAACATTCGTCTATAAATGCCTAATGCCTGAGTATCAAGTACCAGTTTACCTGGTGTCAGCACCATTTGATAGCTTTACGACATGCATGGGTGTTTAAAGTGCAATTCTAGCAATTTTAACCCGGATCTTCACGGGTCTATAAGTACATAAATGCTCATCCTATGATTCAGGCGGAAATCCCAAATAAAGTCTGCCAGAGACTTGTGATTATGTTTTGTTTTTTGTTGATTTTATTTATTTAGAAAGCAGGAGCCGATGGCGTACAAAAGATTTCCTCCACGGCATGCCATCCCCCGTGTCACCTCCACCCATAGATCGATACTGGATGCCTGTCTGTGTCAGACAATCCGGTGACGACCATGATCACATACCATTTCAAGAGAGAAGAAGCTTGCCACCATTCTGTTATCTTCAAAGGATCCTTGTAATTGGAGAGCCTTTGTACTGGCAGTTGTGGTGGTGGTTTAAAAACTGAAATATAAACAGTACTGTATCAAATCTAATTGAAGATGCATCGACGATAAACATAAAGCACAAATTCGCATTCCAAGGAAAATGGCATTTCAACAATTTGCAAGTTAAATGAGATTACATGTCTTGTTTTAGCATTTTTCGCGATATATATGCACACACATGCATGTCTGTGAGTGTATGTACGTGGTTGTGTGGCCGATTGGCAACTTCATTATTGCTCTGAAAACGTCTCAACACTACGTCTTGTGGCAAGTATATACAAAGAAACCATTAAACGTGTATGTACAAGCATGAACTTCAGTGTAGCAACTGTGTATTACATTTGCAGTTTAGTAGTTCAGTTCATACCAAAACACAAAAATCCCACACTTTTCAGGCAAAACCATACAATACAATTGTTACGCCACATTATGGTGGAAGTAGTAGCAGCACTGGTAGTAGCATTAACTGTGATTCGGGCGCATTAGCAATCCACATTTCCCAAATGTCAAGTTGACACTAATTTATAGGGGTAACATACCAAACACAACGTTCACTACTTTTCCCCCCTCCAACCTCAGTTTTACTCTGATAAAAACAGCAGCTCACGGGCTGATTAAGATGACTTCAGCTCGGGGACAAGTAAAATGTATCCAACAGGTTGACCTCCAGGGTATTGTCACTTTGGGGTAGTCAAGGTGATACAGCATTCACCGGTGGGCGTTTTTTGTCTGTGGTAACCAGTCAATCTATGAATGGGTAAGAATTCGTGACTGAACAGGTGAATGTATTACCAGTTATATGCATGTGGCAGCGCAGCTATAGAGGAATGTTTTAAAGAGTTTGGTTTGATTGTTGTTTAACGCCGCACTAATCATTAGCATCAGTCTACGCAATTGTGATACGATGACATGTGTCAACCAAGTCATGAAGGATATATGTTCAATATGCTGTGTTTACGTCTATATGTGTGAACACGTGTAGTTCTGATACATATTTATTAAATTTCATTCTGTGACTTGTACATTGAAAAGTTGAAGTCAATATTTCGCAGGAGTTTGTTTGTGAGCTGTTTGTATTGATAATGGTCAGACGGTGAAAAGAAAGAAGCCCCTTACAATCTTTTATATCATTCCCATTTTCTTGCATCCTCGATAATCTCCAGGGTATACGTTCCGATAAATCTCCAGTACTAGTGGAGATTTATCGGAACGTATACCCTGGAGATTATTGAGGATGATTTTCTGGGTCGAACAGGGAGTTCTCACTTGGCAAAACGCAACCTTCCTTTTAGAAGCAAAGCCAGATCCATACTTGAAGTAAGTTATGCCACTAACGTATTAGTCACACATGTACACAAATGCCACAGTAGTACTGGAGAATTATCAGAACGTATACCCTGGAGATTATTGAGGATCATTTTCTGGGTCGAACAGGGAGTTCTCACTTGGCAATATAGAATAGCCAAGTGGCTATATAAAATTATTCTTTTTCACGAATCTTACTGGTTGCTTGCGTGTGACGAGCCAATGCTTTAGCCACTAGGCTACCACGTATTTTGATTTGAAACATACCTAGCAGAAACGATCTTGTACAATTATGTTACTGTTCATTAATGTTCACTCAGTAAAACCCTTCCAACATCCAGGAGAAAATTCTGCCAAAAGTAGAGCCGACGATTTTAACTATATCTTGAGCATTTGTTTATGAATAACTATCAAATACATGTACCAGACCCTCACAACAGGTGGAACCTGGTGAGAAAATAACATGGGCGACAACAGTATTAGACATATTTATCAAACAGTGAAAAGGTGAGTGAATAGAAAGATCGATACCACCATTCTCCAGTATTTTCAGTATTTGTAGGATTTACTTCAGTGACAGCGATACAAGCTGTCGAAACATAGTTAGTTTCTATAATGTTTGATTTTTGTATCAACTTCAAATATCAACAAGAAAGGTATGATACTTAATGGATGACAATTCCGTAATTATAATGAATTGTTATGATGCATTTGCATCATAATATAACAAAGAAGTTGTCATCCATTAAGTATCATACCTTTCTAATATTCATCAACTTCTAAAATGCCTGTCAAACTGATTTAAATTCAAAGTGAACACATTCTTTTACTCGGCAGTGTATTGTTCCTTTCCCACTTGCACACATGTTTCATGACCTGTTTCCGACAAGCGAGGGCCGCTGTCTCTGACCGAAACACAGCGACAGTATCCACATAGATACAGACATATGTCAAATCTGTGACAGCTTTGCCCCTGGCGGAATACAGGCAGTAGATCTTGAAGACAACGCTGCGTCTACACTGGATTGGTACAAGATAGTAGTGTATAACGCTCCCGTAGACTGACATTTTTCGTCCTACCTCAGCAAGTCATGCGGAACGAATGGTGACCAAGACAACACACAACCGCGCGGGAGACCACAAAAACGGGACGCAAAAATCCCCCGCATCACAATAGTAAACAGAACTTATCTTAACGAATGTTTAAAGACAGACAGACAGATAGACATAGTTTATTAAAGTGTCCCATGTATGTAAACAAGATACATATAAATACATAAAATACATATAAAATAAACACATAATGTTTTTAGATACATCCAGCCTTAAAGATCACATATACTCTAGGGGGGTACAAATACATAAATCACCAACTGGCATCGCTATAAATGAAACCCCGTCATTAAAACTACTCACTTCGATCTTTTATCAACTGAAATCGACCTTTTTGACAACAGTGCACAATTCTCACCCGCGAACGAAATTTCAACCAATCAGAGCGGGGCGTCTCTGTGACGTCATATGAGAAATATATAGATGTGAGGGCCGATGCAGAATTCATCTACATTTCAGGGGGTAAATTATCTTGTTTACAGGTTTGTATAAACCTGAAATCGTGACAACTGTTGTGGAAAATGAAAGCTATACGTTCTCACAATCTACTGTCATTTAATTTTGTCTCCTGCTTTGCCTAGTTTCCGAGTTTCAACTTGTTTTCATAGACGATCGGATTCTGTCAAAATCGCTTGGTGTCGCTAGGCCTTACTTGTATAATGACTGATCCAAATTGATCCCATTTCTGTGTTTTTTACCCCGATATTTAATCATGTCATGTAAAAATATGACGTATATTACGTATGATATTAAAAATTGACATTTGATTTATTTGAATCGATAAACTAAACAACCCTATTTTGCTATTGCTAGAAGAATCTGAAATTTTACTTAGGTAAATAGGTACATACAGTTTTAGCACACAGCAAATGCTTATATGTATTTCTTATGCAACAATGAAGTTCTGTTTGTATTCTCAAAACAGTGTCGGCCCATAAGTTAAATTAAATCAAATCATATTAAAACATATCAATTAAAATTGCATGCAATACACCAATTAATACTCCCTCGTTGTAACCCATGTTAGGTGGTATAAACCTACACATGTTATTTGTCATCATTCACTTGATGGTCAGTTAATGAATTTATAACAGGTATAATTAGTGGTAACACCACTTAGATTACCCGACAAAGGTTTCCATTTCGCATTTCTTGTGTCTGGAGTAAATATTCAACATTATAACATCGATCAAAGGATTAACCGATAACACGCTGATTGATTAATTACTTTTATCTTACACAGCGGATTTGTCAAAAGGTAGTGTTTATGTATGTAGATTTACTAATCTATACTGAATACACTCTGTCGTGTCGGTGTCTGCGTAAAAACAACGTCCTTCCGTCAAAGGATTAACCGCCAATACAGTGATTGATTGCTCATTATTGGCTAACTAAATTACCGTTTTTAAAGAATGGCGGACAGTAGTAGAGGTAATGATTGTCCGGGACCAGTTCCAACAAAAGCCTCTGCAAAGCCTTATTTCCCAAATAAGGCTTTGGTCGGACCCTTAGCTCTTGCTACCATTACCCCTACTATGAAAAATTAGTAAAATGTCCCCCGGCAGCCACAATTCCCCAAGGGAGAAATAGAAATGTATTGCGCTTCCTCCCAAGGGGAATTGTGTCTCTCACCGTGAGAGAACCTCACATCACACGAAGTTGTGACGGCGGGATACGAACCCCACATGTACAGCTTGCGCAGACTATACATAATGGGGGCGCACCACTCAACCGACTGAGCTACCGCGGACTTAGCTGAAGTAGGTCAGTTTAACGGGTCTATCCTGAGATCACGTGACACTATACCGTGTTGACTGGTGGTAACACTGTGCCGTACGGTACGATCAATAATTCTTCTCTTACAAACCCTCTGCCTGGTCCATCCCTCAAGTAGTACAAGTTAGGCTCGTCGGCTTTCATGTCAACTTTATCTATGTTGTAAGTTTTGACTGACCATATAGGATCGGTGGCTCGCTTACGGCTATCACCCTCATGTTCCCCATGCTGGTATAGATACCTAACTAGGGCCCTATCTGGTATCTGTTTCTCCTTCCCACGCAATGGAGCAGCCGACTCTGCAACTATTGATTTTAGTTTGATAGCGTCTGCCGGTTTCTTGCCGGTGAGACGGGTGACTTCATGGTTGATTGCCGACACCACCTTAGGTAACCTTGTGACCCATTCAGTCGATCGTTTTCCCGGGGCGGCCAACTCCCTCACATACTGATGTCCGAATAAGCGCTCAGCCAAAGTCCTATTGAATCTCTCAACTATGGCTTGGCTGCGATGGGCTCCAGCCGTGCCACGCCTGACCTTTGTATCGTGTTTGGCTAGCAGTTGTGACACGGCACCCATGAACTCCCGCCCGTGGTCAACTTGCAGCTCTGTTGGCCACGCCAGCGGACTGCGTTTGTATATGCGTTCGAATCCTCTGGCTACCTGGACCGAATCTTTCGTGGTCAAGGGCTCGGCTTCCTTGTAGCGACTGGCTACATCCACTACGGTTAAGGCATACTTGTACGTCTTGTCGTGGGGTAGGAACAGTAGGTCTGCCTGGTGAACGCTATTAGGTATGTTAATACCGAACTTCCTTCTAGG